ATATCTTACTTTCAATAATGCATTACGAGAACGTAAACGCGTACTTTGGGCATTTGTATCTGTTTTTTTTTTTTTTTACAGTACAACACAAATTTAATGCATTTGCAAAGATACGACGCACAGTGGTTCGAAACTGCCTTTTGGTGGAAAAAATTCGGTAACGTCAATGTGTTTAACTAAAATTTTACAAAAGTTGGTATTCCTAAGTTTTTGGGGTCGCTAATTTCAAATCTGAAGTAAAAATTTGCATTGGAATAGCGAGAAATTAAAAAATATTTTGTTTGCAATAATACTCTTTTGTGAACAAAATAGTTTGATAACATAAGTGAAGCACTCAGTTATCAGTGACTCAGGAAATGTACGCTCTAATTAAACGTTATTTCAATGACTATAAACGTTCTTTCAAATTATGTTTTAGGGATATAAATGAAGTTTCCATTAACTATATTTATGTTATAAGTCATTCATTAGGAGCATAATACAACAATATAGCATTTTTATTAAATTTTTCAGATAGTCCCTGTAGTCGCCTTCGTTTGTAGTCGCATTTTTAAGTCAAAATCGTAGGCTTCCTACTTCTTAACTTTTATGCTATGATATTCCAACAAATAATCGATATTTATAAAAAGAATTTATACATCTTGGGTCTTGACATTCTACTATGAAATTGTAATGAAGAACTCTAAAAACTAACTATTCGATGATTTTTTTCCACTGCTGAACTACTGTGCGACTCGAACGAGGCAATTTACTAAATCGTAGTGTATGTATAGTATCGACCGATTTTTCTGCATTGTCATCCGTTCATTACGTCATTTGCACAATCTGAAGTATACACGATTACCATTACACGATTAATAACACTATCGTTAAACTAAACATTGCATGGGTTGCATATCGGGAACGATGTTGAAAAAGTTTATTTATTCCACTTAAAGAATATCATGGTTACAACAGGAAAACCGCGTGACGTCATCTGTGATATGTTTCATAAGTGACACAACTGCTGGTTGATTAAAGTGTCTCGTCAATTTCTTAAAATAGCGATATAGTAAATACTCCGATTTCCGTCGGTGCCGCAATTTCTACTTAAGATGATTGCACACACAATTATAGAAATAGAAAGGCGAATACAGAATTAAGAAGAATCATAGATTAAATATATTTTCACAGTCCGAGGATAATAGAGACTGGCGTCAACGGTATGTGCATTAATCGATTTCTCGTAGAATGGTGACCCACATGTTCCCTGTTATTTCGTAGCCAAGGTCACGCGAACACGAAAGTATTTCTACGAAGGACATAATCACGCGCTGTATCATCGAACGAAACTACGATACAAATCTACAAAAAATATACTTTCCATTCATTCGCATTGATTTCGCGTTTAAGCGAGCTTTACGCGTGAAATGTTACGAATGTTAAGTAAAAATTGTTCTAAAGAGCAATACCTAAACGCGAAGTCCGCTTAATATCTTATCGCCTGTAAAACAAAAAACGGTAGACGCTCGGCAATCGGAGAATCGTAGAGTAGCGAGGAAGGTGTATCGAGAAGGACGGAAAACGAGTTTATGCTTTCGGTGTATACACGTACACACATAATAACGAACATCCTTTGCAATCACGTGTCCTTCCTCATTGCGCAATAAGATGTCATGTACACGGCGTTATAGTACGTACGTACGTATGTAAATAAAGCTTGTATGAATTAAGCGTTCGCGCACGTTCGCAAGATTGTTTGTCGAATCGCTAGTAAAATGCAAGCTGACACGCGAGCAGCGCAACCCGGTTTCGGCGTAATCCACAGCCAAGTGTGACGCTACCCTAAAGAACTCCGAAGCATGAGGAAGAAAGAGAAAGGGAACGCGAAGGCGCGATCATGTAAGAGCGAGGAAGAGGACTACCGAGAATTCCGGATTCCGACGACAGCGCTGGTCTCAGTCTCATAGTCTCATAGTCTCAGTTGACTCAGTCGTTAACGATACGCTGCTACGATTGGATCGACGCAGCTGCTCGCCCTTAAACGAGGAAACTACTTCCCAGAAAAAACAGAAAAATGGTTGTTGAAATTAAGAGTGCGGTGAGTAGACGAATACATAATTGTACTAACTGCGAAACGATTGCAGATTCGTAACGTTCGATGAACGTGACGCGCGTGAACAATTTGCCTGCACGCGTTGAATAATCTATACTCATTAAGCGCGACAGTAGAAACCGCCGAAATTAGACACGGACACGTTCAGATCCACTGAATTTTTCTCACAATCTCGCCTCTAAACCAGTTAACCTTGGAACGATCGATTTTAGCTTGCACAATGTTAACTGGCAGGAAAGTTTCCTCAACATAACGAGCCGAAAAGGTTTCCACTCGAACGTGCGTAGAGTGGTTGAAATCATGAACCGACCGAATACCGAATGCCGTCCCGGCGTTCGATTTTGTCTGCATTATAGCGGCAACGAATTTCGAGCTATACAGCGTTACATCAACGATAAACAATTTCAATTACTACACAAACGTGCGACAGTAGAATGATTTTATATATCTAAGCGTTTCCATGATAGATGAGCTTCTAAGTATGTACGAGCGGGATAATTTAACCCATTCATTGATTTTAAATCGTATGATCGATCGCCAAGTTATCTCGAAGAGTTTCCTTTAGAAAAATAGATGACTTCATATTTTTTTTATTCATTTTAGTTGAGTTCCTCAAATTCGAATTAAAGACCACATATTTATTAATCTACATATTTTCGATTATATTGTAACCTGATAAGTATATTATTTGTTACATAAATATTATTTATTAAGTATATGTATGTATTTCGGAGATCAGGATTAACGAAATCAGTGTATGACTGGCATTATAGCTCTTATCGTATTTAATCATTTTTAACTTATCAGCTGTGATAGTGTACATTATATAGTATGCCCAGCTACTAGGAACGTTTACGCAATGTATAAGTGTTATTTATGAAACGTGTTTATATATACAGGATGACTTGAAGGTACAGCTGGACGGTGCTGGAGACAAATTAGTTGTAATCGACTTCTTTGCTACGTGGTGCGGCCCATGTAAAATGATCGCACCCAAAATGGAAGGATTATCGAAGGTGAGATAAGTTATTTTGTTACGCAAGATCATTTGAACGTAGATTTGTAACGAGTATTATTTTTAACAGGAAATAACAGACGTAATTTTCCTGAAAGTTGATGTAGATGTATGCGAAGATTTAGCTGGCGAATACGAAATCACCAGCATGCCCACCTTCATCTTCATCAAGAATGGCAAAGTGGTATGTATCAGATCTAAACGTTTAATAACAGAAATATTGAGGGATTGAGAATTAATTGATATTTAAAATGAAACTCGCTTGTTTCAGCTGGAGACGTTCTCTGGTGCTAATTTCGATAAACTTAAAAGTACAATTCAAAAGCACAAATGAATAAGTAACTGTACGAATAAGTATATTTTTCAACAGAATTGTCCTTAATTAGCACTAATCATCAGAGATAATTAAAAACAGCTTTGTAATCAATCATAAAATGATATTGCAAGTTCCAAAGCGAATGCAAACGTAGGTGAAGACTTTTTTGATAACACATTGTCAGTTTTGTTATACATATTTTGTTGCAAAATAAAATGTAATCAGCTTATAAAAATAAACGTGTAATATACTTATTTTTACTTTACTGTTTGTAATAATGTAAAAGTAATGTATTTACACTTATATTCAAACTAAATTTATTTACACAGTTTCATCACGTTAGTATATTACGTCGATTATGTACCTATCCATGGACAAGCCTCTGGTTGTTGTATTTTTATTAATAACGAATATGCACCAGTATCAGACTCAAGTTAAGGTGAATACCAGATTTTCTCGTCATCCTCCAGACTGCTGTTATTTTTGTTATTTTTCTTATACCTTGCAAACTTGCATTTTTTAAGAAATTAAAAGAACTATCGGAGCTACAGAACTTACTATTTATAATAATGTAAAGGCAATTGATTTATATTTGTTGTATTAAAATTAAATTTATGTACACAATTTCATATAGACAGTACATTATTTGGAATTATGTTACCTCTATTATGCACCTATCGATAATGTGGTCTCTGGTTGTTTTTGTATTTTTACTAACAAGGAACACGCACCAGTACCAGACTTGCAAGGCTGGCCCAACATTAGCCGACTAGATGGAGATACTAAATTGTCTCGCCTTCCTGTAGATTAGAAACATGTTTGAAATACAATCAAAAAAATTATAGCATGAAATTTGTGTGGAAAATTGATCGAGTTTAAAAGATGCAACTAAGAGATTGTTGTAGAACAACGACTTCTCTCCTAAATTAAAACTTAAAGTATTATCCAGAGATTTTTAATTTGATACACCTCTACGATAATGCTTAAAAATAAGCGCATATTTGAAATTTAAATTTCGACAGTTCGAGCA